GAGGAGAGGAGAGGAGAGGAGAGGAGAGGAGAGGAGAGGAGAGGAGAGGAGAGGAGAGGAGAGGTAATGAAAACGAAATCACCTTCAGTTCTCTTTCTTGATCTTCAAGTATTTTTCTTGATGCACTAATTTGTTTGTCCTTCTTTTCAACATCTCTTAGTGTCTTTTGTAAATCAGCCTGTCAAAATTGTACGTTAAATCACATAACATTATGAATTGTTTATTAAAAGCAAAAGGCAATTGCAACCACAGGACTTGACACAATGGCCTGTTAGCTTAGTCAGGAGATCATGATCACCAATCAAATTACTGTTAGCTTGGTCCAGGGCTTTCAGAATAAGCCAGCAGCTGCTGGAGTTCCAGCGAGTGCATCAAAGGTAACTGCTGGCTACTTTTTCTTTACTATAAAATACCTCCGGTTCCTTGTATTAGATAAAAGCTACTTCAGTTTCATGATAGTCTCCCCCACAGCCGCTTTCAGTGTCGTCACGCAACGCTTTCTCCCCTGACTAGCTAGTCAGGGGAGAAAGCGTTGTGTGACGACACTGAAAGCGGCTGTGGGGGAGACTAGTTTCATGACCACCTACTTCAAAACACTTTGATAGCCTTGTTGGTCATACCTTGAGTTTAGTTAAATTTTACTGGCCAAAATGATTGAAATGATTGATCCTAAACCTGAGTTTTCACAGTTTATCTAGTACACTAACTTCTTCATGCACTACTTGCCTCATTTTTAAGCGTTCCAACTTCTGACATTAAACTACTGATTTTGTTTTCATAATTCCTCATCCTTCCATACACTTCATCCTCCTACAATAAAATGTCGTCATCAATGAAGGAAATGAATGTAATTGAGCACAGTGATCATATAAATATATACACCCATCCCCAAGAGACCTTCTCGCAGTCACACACACACCTGCTCTATCTCCAGAAACTAATCCTGAACAAAGAAAAAAATTATTAAGGCCCCAGCCTCTAATGAGCCTCCAGTCCAAAAGCAATGAAAAATAACAAGGCCCTAAGGGGCTTATAATGAGGAAATAGTTTGCTGCTGTATAAATTATAAATTATAAATCAACTCTTTTAATTCTAAAGCTTGAAATCAAAAATAACCCAAAAACACTGATCATCATTGTCACCTCAGAAGATGAAAGATCTTCCATTCGTAGACCACCATTCCTGCTTGGAGGACTGACATCTAATGCATGCGTTTGGTTCTGGAAACCAGAAATATCAAAAATTGTTGGCTTCATAACATCCTTATCAATAAATAATGATTTTGTTTGATTGCCTAGTGACATTGAAACATTTTGTAGCTGCATTTGTTTTCTTATTCACTTTATCTGCTGTATGAAAGAGATATACTAAAGATTTATTATAGTATGTATGGAATCCTCTTTGTGCAGGAGGTCTTGGTTCGTGTAATGGCCGGAACAATAATGGGTCTTAAATTAACTGAAGAGGAAGTACTGCCTTTGTAATAACAGTTACAAATGGTAAGACCTTCACATGGCTCGGATGACCACATAAAATGACAGTCTCGTTTCTGCACATTACCTCACCCTGCAACGGAGGGACATTAAAAAAAACAAAAAACACTGAGAATGTAAAGAAACCCTGGCAGCTAAACTTACCTCCCATCTCAACGGCGAGCGTCCCCTTGTTGTCTTTGCAGGTGCAGGAATAAATGGTGGTGAGGCTGATCTGGTTCCTTTCCTACTTGACCTTCCCTGTGAGAGGAATGAGAAAGAAAATCAGTTAGCCTACTTGAAACATAACCTTGTATTGGTAAGCCCATGATTATTTCATAGTTTGCAAGTTAATTAATTTCTCGTTTTCTCACTCGACTCTGAAGATGTCAAAACGTCAGTAATGATAATTAAATAAATGGGATTTAACAGTGGCATTTCTACAGAGTAGCTATTCATCCACTGTAATTCCAACTGGAATTTAGGAGTTGATTTTTTGCGGAGGGAGGAAAGCCGGGGAACCCGGAAAACCCTCGAAGCACAGGAGAGAACCAACAAACAACTCTACTCACATACGACACTGAACTCAGCGGGACTCAAACCCAGGCCGCATTGGTGAGAGGCGAGCGCTCTCACCGCTACACCACCTGTGCTTCCCGTCAATCACCACCAACAACAGTCTTAAGACTACACTCACCCGGACGATCACATTTCACAACAAACTTCAACACCTGGGTTCAAACCATTTACTCTTACAAGTTAATTAAGTAACATATTCAACACTTTCATTCAAAAAACACCGGGAAAAGAAGTAAATTAGAGTGGCTAGTATGAAACTTTTCCAAAGAGCTGCTTTCATTTTTTTCTTCCTTTCTTTCTTTACTTTTTTGACCTCTACAACCTAAACTAATTATAACTAAGGCATATAAAATGCATGCACATGTCTCTGTACTGTGATATAAATATGCTGGAATGCTGGAAGCTGTAGAGCACGAGAGAAGCAAACTTAGGAACATGAGGATTAGTCGAGTGTTTCTCTTACTTTTCAAGTGCTCTACACAGCTCCCAGAGTGTTTATATCACAGTACAGATCAGACATAAAGCAGCCATTACTTCTATAAAATATTTTTGAACAATTTTGTGTGAGTGTGTCGCTGTCCTCTGATATAGACACAGTAGCCAGCCAATCAGCATGCACGTTATATCTCAAATATTTTGTAATTAAAAATAAAGCCTCACAGAGGGTTTGGTAAGAATTCCTGTCATCCTTCTGTCTCTTGCTCTTAATCTTTCCTGTAGACGAACAAATGTAAGAATAAAGAATGTCATCAGTAAACATTTCTGAGGGTCCAGAAAATATCCCCCACCCCCCTCTCTCTATGAATTAAAAGTTAACAAATGAATTGAGTGTTATGTTTGCTGTAAACATTTAGTGCATTGTGGACAACGAGTGTGGAAGAGCCCCTTTGGGAAGAATTTAGTGATTGGAAAAAACAGAAAGAAAGGTAGGAGGAAGGACAGAAGAATGAAAGAAAGTACTTAGGAAAGAAGCAAGGAGTGAAGGTTGAAGTAATGAATTTTTCATTGGTAAAATGAGTTAGTACTCTTTGTTTTCTCTCTCTCTCTTTTTCAATCTTCATTTGTTCAATGACAATAGCTGTGTACCCAAACTATTGCAATTGCAACTATTGAAAATGCTAACAAAAGTTTTAAAAACTAAAAACAAAAGTAGCTTACGTGTACCTCAACAGCTGTTGGTGCACCTTTATTTTTTCCTTTCTTTTTCTTCTTGAGGTGTACATGGACAGGAGTGTTTCTATCGACATGTACATGGACTGGCTTATCATCATCACCTATAGTCATCTCATACAGTATGTCTCTTGCTTGTTGACCAACTTGGAAATAAATTGAACGAAAGATATAAGGAACACTTTACGAATGTTGACCAGATGCTGCTGTCTTCTGCTCAAAGCAATCCAAGACAACAGGGAAAAGGAAGGAATTGTACTTATTATTGGCTTACTAAGCTTGATTTTTTGATAGTAATTTGTAAGTTATGAGGTCGTAAAACAAGTTGACGTAAAATATTTCAATAATGAACTTAATATATGTTAAAAATTTGATCCCAGATTTCAATAATAAGGGACTAAATAAAGTGTACATAAAATATTTTGGCATTTTATGTGGTTATTCTCTTCAAATTTTAGTCATGCGAAACCTTATTCTTAAATCAAGTAAGTAAAAGAAATAGAAAAGTAAAGCACAAGTCCTCAAAGTGGTCATGATTACATACATTCCTGTGCAGCGTGCAGCGTCCAGCGCGATCAAACCAAAATTACGGCAATAAATTATGAATAAATACTGTCTTACAATAAATAATAGAACAAATAATAGATTCACGAATTGCGATCGGTTTTCTTTCCTTTAATATATAAAGAAAATATCAATTTGTTGGCGATCATCTTGTGCTTTTATAAAGTTGAGAGGCACTTGAAGGAGTTCATATTGAATTTCGCGCTCTTTTTTAACAACTTGAACGCGTTTTCTAGCCTTGATTACCACTTACCTTTTAAAGTAGGAATACAAGAGTTCCTAGGGATGTATTTTCCTTCATAAAGGATAAAATTAGTGGGAATTAATGAGGTTCAAGTATTTCCATCGCCACCAAAACATTCACAAAAACCCAGCCGTTGATTTCTGTGTTTAGACGCTGAGTACTGCACGCTGATTGGCTGCTCAAACACTCACTGAAAACCTGACTATCAATCAACCGAGGAAACCTGAGGACTAATTACCTCATAGTCAACAGGAAGCCCAAACAACTTTTTTTCCGGATTTTATTTTTATTATTATTATTATTATTATTATTATTATTATTATTATTATTAT